ATTCCTGCTTTTTTTTTGTTTAGGGAAAACTGGTTCTTTTTTAATATATAATTTTAGCAGGAATACTTTTGTGTGGAGCTATTTCAAGTTTTACTTCTGGCAGAGTATCAGAGGAATTAGGTAATTTTTGTCACCACCAATTAAAAAGTTTTACGAAACAGGACCGTTATAAAACAATTAAACCTTGCAAATGCAGCAGTCTCTAGGAGGGAAACCCTGGAGGAAATTCTGCTTATTAAAATTGCAATTTTAGTTTCCATTAAAAAGGAGAATAAGACAACAGAAGATGGGCTGCAAGACAAATTATTTCTTAATGTCAGTTGAGCTTATTTCAAATGAGATAACATATCTACACCAGGTTGAGTTCAACACAGTTTTGCCTCCACAACTCATTTATCTAATTCAGTCATCTTGATTACAGCCTCATGGACCTTCATTTTCAGAGGAAGAATTTCCTAACAAACAACCTACACAACATGCTGATTACTGAACAGTTAATTCTAATTAACTTGGCTATGGCAGGAGAATTTTGATAAAGTCCTAGAAAGCAAACACAGTTTGGTTACTCTGGCCAAACCCCTGTAAAATAAAAACCCGCCGCGGAGCGTCCAGATGAGACAGGAGAGGGATAGGGATCTAATTTAAATAAACAAATGAGAAAAATTAAAATCACAAATAATTTATTCTTCTGTTAGAATTGATGGAGTACAGTTTTAAATAGCAATGAAGTACACAGTGGTGGAAAATTGGCACAGAACCTACGAGCGTTTCATTCAGAAGCATGCTCCTCACGCCGTATCTGTTCAAACCGTGACGTGTGTTTTCTGTTGACTTTAAAAATGATTTTCCCTTTAAAAATGATTAACAAATTGAAAAGCTTGTCTCTCATGGATAATGTCATATGTATTATAAACAACAGTTGTTTTTCTTCACCCCCCCGATCTGAGAAAAAATAACATTTTACCCCCGGGCTAATTTTAAGTTCTGTCTTTTTAAACACTTGCCAGGAATTCTTGCATCCCTATATTCCTGCAGAATATCCATTTATTTATCTGACACACAGTTGCAGGACAGTCTCAAAACCAATTTTATTTGTGTACTATGCTATTGATCAAGGTGCTGCCTCTACCTGCCATGCAACACTACAAGCGTTAACTCGCCTCAAACCATCATCCGGCATTTACCTCACCAACAGGTTTTGTGTTGGATGGTCTAGAAAACATCCCTTGGTCTTGGGTTAACCAGTGAGAAAAAATGGACACACCCCCCAAAAAATGCCTCCTTTCTAAAGATATTCATCCCCAGTTAGGAAAGTTTAGATAGGTTTTTACAAAGTTCTAGGCTATTTTGATACATAGAAATGATTTAACTAAAGGTTAAAATACACTTATACAATAAATCCTGTCCTCCATATTCTTTTTCAAGTTCTTTGCATATTCCAGCCAAGTAAAATTAACACTTGTCGTTTTCTTTGTTATTGTAATTATTAAGAGGGATTACAGCTTGCTTAGGCAAAGCTGTGACAAAACACTTGAGAAATAAAACCCAAACGTTTATCCTGTTACCCAAAAAATGCTGCAGAAAACTGTCAAAACTATGTTAGAAACAATTTTTATAAAATTGCTTCGCTCAGAAAAAACTGGTTAAGCTTAAAAAAAAATTCATCTTTGCACAAGACTGCATTATACTGTCCTTAATTATGTTCCCATTTAGCTAACTGGGATCCTCATTCTTTGTACATGAACCTATCAGTGATGGATGATGCTCTCCATCTTTTTTTTCACTGTTATCTTTATTGGACACCATTTCAAGACTTAAAACAATCAAGCACTTATCATGCCCCTACCCCTTTTCAACAGTAGATTTCTTATCCTGCCCAGCCAGTAGTGTACTGCCTTGCATATTCACCACATGAAAAACATAATATACAAAATATTGCTGCTGTAAAAAGTGTGCATTTCCCCTTTCCCCCCTACAAAAAAAATCTGTGGAAAAAATATTAAATTCCCATAACCTTCATAAACATACAAAGCTGTTTTTGCACCTTTCAGTCTGTAACAGTCTATTTGACACACAGTTCTCAACTCACTGCAAATGATGTCCCATATTTTCTGTCCAATATTGCCATCTAGAGTAGAGATGTGAAATCAGTTTCTGAGAATCTACAGTCTTTAACCATTAACCCATAAAGACTGTATAACCCTAAAACAGCCACAAGATTTTTTTTTTTTCCCAAAAACTAGATGGAATGGGAGGTTCTCATCTCAGGAAGATGTCCACAGTGCTGAGGAGACAATATGGCTGCTAAGAGATATTGCCTACTGGAATGTGAGTAATTTTTCACTGTTGGTAATTTCCATACTGACCCTAAAAAAGATTCAGAATACATCATTAGACCACAAGGCATGCTTTCTTGTAATTAAAAATTGAAATCAGACAACCATCCAAACAAACTATGGTATTAATAGGTGGAAATAAACAACAATAAATGATAAACTGATATGAGTAAGTGGCACAGTTTCACCTCACTGAAAATCCTCTCTGTTTTAATGTAAAAGTAAGACTGATGATATTGATTTAAAGCCAGGAACCTGATTTAATCAAAAGTATACCTTTAAATTCAACAGACTGCTGTGAAATCTGCAGGACACCCTCAAAAAGAAAAGATGGGAATTACTTCCCACTTGAACTTTGAAAATTATTTCAGAAAGACAAGGTCACCTAAATTCAAAGTAATTTAAGGAAATTAACCTGCTTTCAGAGATACCTAAAAATATTCATGTAGCATCACAGAATGGACTGTACATGTTATCTCAAAACCCAAGGGGCATCCCAGTGAACAGTGAAGAACCAGCCAACATATCCTATAGGAATCAATTATTCCATGGATTCAATACAGAGAATTATCACCCTTATTGATATTCTCTGCTTCTTCTGACAGAATGTTGTGCAGGCAGAGGTGAAAGCACCAATGCTACATGCTCATCATGATCCTTCACCACAGGCTTGAATGCTTGCAGAAATAGTGTCAACATTCTCCCAACTGCAGCCCTGTCACCATTCCATGGGAAGGATCACCACAATAAGGCAGTTATTTTAAATTCCATTTTTATGTCAGGTTTCTTCCACTGTAATATGACAATTAGTCAGGAAGAAGAGTTTCAGAACAGCTGCCAGAGGAGAATTTAAGCAGCACAATTCCTGTGGGAATGGCTAGTATGAAAGAGAGGTCTCCTGTAATTGAATTTCCCAAGGGAACTTGGACTGTACAAACTGGAGGAGGAGAGAGGAGGTCTACAGAGAGGGTTACCCAGTCCTACTGCAAAGAAAGCTGCAAGAAACTCAGCAAATTGAGATTAAGCTTCCTTGACCCTACACATTTGCCACGAGCAAAGTGCTTTCCTGCAGCTTATTATTTGCAGGAGGAAGCTATTAGTTCAGTGCACAAGCATTTTGTTTATTTGTTAAATAATTAGGACTAATTGCATCTCTAAACTACCACAGTGAAAAGAGTTTGTTCCTTTTTCTTTGTCTTTTCTAATTTCATTAGAAAGGAACCAACTGTTCTTTGGAAGTGTGGGCAGCTGTGACTATTCTGACTTCCAGGCAAAAGTTCTTCCAAGTCCAACTGATCTTCCACTGACATACCAGGATTTTAACAGTAGAACTTCAGCCTGATCATATGGTATATTTAATTAGTCTCTATTTTATTTATGCCAAGGAAAGGACATTCCTCAATAACTGATATTGCAAAGATTACATTTTTACAGTATAGTTATCTTCTACAGGAATAAATCCTCTGCTTCATTCTTTAGTTAGAAGACTTTTTTCCTACAGGAATCCTCTGCTACAACTCCAGTCTAGAGTTTTGGTGGCTCTTGTTTATTTTAAACTTATCTCAGCAGTGATAGGAAAGCAGCAGTTGATTTTCAGGTCACTTCTTTCCCACGTTCAGTGTTCCTTTCTACTGCTCTATAACCTGTGCACACACAGGCTTTGTGTCTCCCCACACCATGTTTCAGTAGGAGGACCTCACCTGCACACCTGAGGCACTTCTGCAACTGCAGACAACTACTGGATTTGTGTGTGTTGGAAACCAATTAAGACTTTTTATTCCATTTATTGCAGAATGATTCACCATGAGATTTAGGAACCTCATCTTTCATACCTGTCATTCACCATGAGGCTAGGAAACAGATCACCTGAATTTTTAAGGCCTCTGAAGAGAATGACTAATCACACCTCCAGATAAATGATTCTGGGTAACTCATCTGGAAACAAAATCTACTGGAATTGTATATACACCCCTAAAACACCACGTCCTCCCAATTCCTCAAATGTCCACAAGAAACCAAGATTATCAAACGAGTGTGTGAGAATCACAACTTGCTCATGAAATGAAAGCATACCTGGTCATATCCATAAGGCCTCTGCTGTGGTGGCTGTGGTGGCCCAGGCTGTGTGGGTCTGTATCCCCCATACTGCTGGCCTTGTCCTTGGGGGTAATTGGGATACTGAGGTCCTGGACCACTCTGGGAGGGGCCTTGAGATCATTAAAACAGAAACAAGGAGAAAAAAAAGGAAAAAAAAAAAAAGATTGCTTAAGATGTTAGAAGAGAACAGTAAAAGCATTGAATTTTACAGTTGAGCAGGGATAAGAAATATCACTACAGTGCAGTTTGGCCTTTTCCTACCTAAAAAACATACCAGGGATCAGTGGTCCTCCTCTCAGCCTGGAAAGCACCTTAACTTATGGGGCCTGTGCTCCAACCACAGAAAATTTACCTTCATTTATATATCCCTGGTTTATTCTCAGCACATGGAGCTCCATGGCTGGAGCTTTGGATCTAAGCAGACAGTCAAGATGCTCTGGAGAAGAAAAGCTCTGTAGGCTATTACCATTCTCCTCAGGCCTCAGGTCCCCTTGAACTATGCAGCTTCAGCTTTCTGCAGTGTAACAAAACCTTCAAGATAGATAATAATGACTGGGAAGCTGATTTACTTGTGCAAATTGGAAAGCAATTAAATATTAAATCAAGCAAGGATACTACATCCTAGAAAGTGCTGTGTTCATCTGACAAATGAACCCTGCCTTTATTTATTCATGGTAATTCTTTCTAGTCGAATTCTTAATATTCAGTGACAGGTTTTATAAAATAAAAATGGAACTTCCAGATCTATTTCTGCTTAAAAAAAAATAGAAATTGAGAAACATGCTATTTAGGTTTACAAATTACAGTGGGTAAGTCGCTCCAACAGATTTCTTCATCTCTTTCCTCTAGTATTTCCTAACCTAAATTTTCAGAATAAACCAGATTTGATTTCTTTACTTACAAAATTTAGAAAATTGAGCTAGATGGACCTTCACTCTGATATTCATTCTGTTTCCAGGTTACATTTATCAGAGTATAAGTATGTGAATATTATTTTAGAACTATCAATTCATCTATAACCTCCAAAAGAAGGAAACCTTTCTAAATCTCAGTGGGTCCCCTTAAAACTTAAACTCTGTCTCAACCTAACTGGATTTAATGCAAAACTGGCATTTATCTACATGGCAACCAAGTCATCCATGCACTTCCCCAAACATCCACAACACTCAGAGTTTTATCACTTAAACCTACAACAAAGCTGCAAGTTAGAACATATAGAATTGGATTTCAGAGATTCCTTCTTCCCAGATAAATGTGTCCAGCTTTACAATATGTAAGTTAAAAAAAAAAGCAGGATTTTCAGTATGCTCTTCTGACCTCAAGTTTTCAGAAGTAATGCACAGAACCTACATCCTACTGTTAAGTTTGGGAAGTTTTCCTTGAATCCAAGGACTACATTATCTCACTTGTGGCAGAGGATTTCTGGTTCCTGCCATAGATGAGAATCTTTGCAGTACTAGTGCAAATTTTAAGACACACTCTCTTGAAAGCTGCATGGGCAATACTTAGATTCATTCTCTTACTGATCAGTGCAGGAATTTTAGGAGAATGATTCATGCATGTTGGATAAAATTTTAAGCTTTTTTTTAAAAATATTGTTCTAAATGGCAAATCCAGGGATGAAAGGGCATAAATGGTTCCCTGCCACCTTTCTGCCCTCCTGTGTTCACCCCCAGATGACAGAAAAGAGCAGGATCTTTCTGTGTCTTTCTACACCACAGAAACACGTTAGAATGGTTTCTAGCCACTATGCTACCACTTTGTCCTCAACTGACAACACTGAATCTGCTTCCCAAAAAACTGCTGTTTTCTACACTTTCTTGGTCTGGCCCAGTGAAATCATGGGCTTACAACTTTTTTTTTTGGTACAAGCCTGGCCTTTCAACCCAGTCAAACAGGGATGGAATAAAATATAAGGATCTCTCCTGGTCTTTTCTGTGATTGCTGAGTCTTCAGGTTCTTACCATAACCCTGCTGTTGTCCTGGATAGCCTTGTTGGCCTGGGTATTGCTGCTGTTGTGGTGGGTAACCCTGCTGTTGGGGTGGTCCTTGATATGCATCTTGCTGCTGACCATATTGTGAGTTTCCTGTAAGACGATTGCAAGAAAGCAAAACCTTATAAAGGCACCTCCTTCACTCCTTTTTCTCCTTCTAAGATGCACAGCCAACAACACAAGAACAAAATGAAAATGCAAGGTCGATTTTGGAAACTGAACAGAACAAAGAAAACTCAAACCAAACAGAAGGAATTCGGCCAAACAAACTGCAGTTAAAGCCAGTTTTGCAGAGTTGAACTGCAGCGTTTTCAGCATCTCTGCCAAACGAGCATTACATTGACTGGAACATCACAGTCATAAGATCATGACTATGCTAAATAAAATAAAAATAAAAAGACAAAATTAAGGACAGCTACAAGAGCACAGACTAGCTACACAAGATCAGCAAGCTGTTTCCTAAGGGCACTAAAATTATACAAAATATAAATAGATATACACACACACAAAGAGATACAACTGAACCAACAGATTTATGTTGAAATAAAAACTCCCATCGAGGTAAAAAAAAAACAACAAAAATAATAAAAATCTCTATAGAGTGTTTTAGTCATTTTACTGTGGTTAGAAATGGCAAATTGGGGTTACATATTTTTAGGTGTTTGCAAGAAATGCTTCGAGTTCCCTGCAGTTTTCAAGACAGGCAGCCAACTAGTACGCTACGAGAGCTTGGCATGGGGATCAGTGGTGTTGTGTGAGAGTTTCTGCTCCCGTGGAGGGTGGGGGAGGGAAGGGGATGTATGTGCATTTGTGTGTGAAGGTATATAGATACCTCCTTCGTAGTAATGTTGGGAGGAATCCTCATAAGGCCTATCGTAGCCTTGTTCAGGGTACGACGGTTGCTGATAACCGTAATCATTATGACCTACATCAATTCGACAAGAGACAGGAAGAAAAGTTAATGGCCTCTGAGTGAAAACCCTAAAAATAACTTTGAAAAAAAAAATTTTTCAACTGGATACACACCAAAAAGAATTTTTCAATCGTATTAGTTCCAAGAGTTTATTAATATGATTTGCTTTTTAAAAAAAGAAAACGGCTCAATGAAGTAGTTTTAGCAACATCACAGCAAGGGATGGTCTTAACCTTCTGATAATCCTTGTTGGGGGGGGAAAAAAAAGTACTTTATCTTTCACTCAAAAAAAAAAAAATGAAAGCATTTTAGGCCTTTCACATGTAAATAACCTGAATTAAATTCGAATGAACAAAGAAAGCCATTATCATACTTTGTCTAACACCTGTTCTGCTGATCTCCAATTCAAAAGCATATGCTGAAAGCAGTGTGAAATAGAACAAACACAGCTCAATGAAGTTATGAACCACAGCCTACAGGAAATTTTGCTTTGAAGTGACAGTAAAATATCATTCTCAAGGTCTCCCCTACAAACAGAATTCCTACAAGTCTTAAGAAAACTTTTACATTCCAGTCCCAAGTAGAATCATTGCAAACAAACCTTCCCTCTCAGAGGCTACAGGCATCTCTGATTAAGAAACCAACATATCCAGTAAGCACCCTACCTGTTGTTGGTTTTAGAACAAATATATTTTGTCTTACAGATGACCAAAATACATGTTATTGCTAACTTGGTCTAGAAAACAAGCCAAAATTTTGTTTCAATTAGAAATTCAAGTATACAAATGATATAGGTTTGGAATAATATTTTGGGATAAAATTAAGGAAAGGAGAACACAGTTGTAAAATTAAGTGGGTTTTGTAATTAGCTCTGCAACTGTACCATAAGTCATGGACTGAATCTAGTCTAACCATTGAAACAAATCTTGTAATATGTTCTGCCTAAGAGTAATATAATGAGGCAATGATAAAGAATGAATCTTTAGAAAGAATAGGTCTTAGAGAAGCAAATTGCCCTTAGTACAGTAAATTGCCTGTAAACATTTAAAGTTCATCTGTGTAACACAGAAGCTCCAAAATGAAAGCTTAAAATCACAAGTTAATGAAACTGGTAATGTAACTCTGCACACTTATCTCCAAAAACAAGCTCATGTTGTGGCTTGATGTGTCTTAACATAAATTTAACAGAAATTACAAATCAAACAACTAACTTTTATTGCTTTATTTGCACTGAGCAGCAGCTTTGGCAATTATACACTTTGCTTTGTATACATTTTTAAGATGTTCTCATCTACCACATTCCTCAAACTTCATAAGATACCATTAAGCTGCACACGTGGTTACCACAGTTGTCATGAGGCCACATCTTTGTTCTCCCAGTCTCTGCCCAGCCTAAAAACAGATTAATTGCAACTTTCCTGATTTATAACACAATCCAACAGCCTTCAGCACTCTAAATTTCAAGAGGTAGGACAGATTTTTCAAATTCAACGTTCCAGTCTTATCTTGAAAGCACTGGGGGGACTTCTAAAGATGATTCACATTTACAGTCTCCTCAGGGCAGGGCCCATTTTCTTCATTTGCAAAATTGAAACTAAAAGTCCCATGCCATAGCAACAATGACACATTTGTACAACTTATAGAAAAGCTAAATATGTTAAATAATAGAAAATTGCCAGAAAAACCACATTTTTAGCAAGTTTTTCCACTTCAATAAAATCTTTAATAAAAGGATATCGCCCCCTCTCTTATTAGTAATAAAGTTAGGACTGGTTTAATTAGTCTCACTTATACTAGATATGCCAAGGAACCTTCCATACTTCCAGATAAACCAATTACAGAACTTTGTTTTGAATTACTAAAACTTAAAGAGTACCAAATGGGAGCATTCCAAATCATATGCTTGGAGTAAGTTGTAATATTAACTAGTCACAGTAACTTAAACTACAGTAACAATGCTGAATTTGGAAGGTTTTGTAAAGGTGAGGTAGGATATCCAATTACTTTTCTTGCCTCATTCCCCAATTTTGGGCATATGACTACATTAGTATTGGGCAGGTAGAGGAAATGGGAAAGTTAACATTTATGAGAGATTACCATCAGGGTAATATTGCTGGTTCATGCCTTCTGGAGGACCTTGTCCACCATGACTGTATTGGTCCCCATAATAGTCTTCCTGGCCTGAGTACTGCTGTGGTGGGCCTGAAAAACCACAACCAGTCAATACGTAAATAACTTTGTTTTCTCTGTTAGAAATCCTGCTCATTTCTGTCTTCAGTATGAGAAATAGTTCTCAAATGCACTCCCCACCCATACTGTTGCATTTCAGACAACATATGTAATCTGGTTTACTTTAAAAAATAATAAATGTATCTATATATACACAAACAGAGTTGTTCCACTGCACTAGATTGAGCATATATATAAATGAGCAGATATCTATCTATATAGATATATCTTAAACTTCATTTTAGGAACATGTGTATAGCAGACCAAGGTGTTAAAAAAGTTATTGCTTTTCTGAAAGGACTGGAAAGAGGGAAAAAAATTAAAAAAGAAGCAAGATTGTAGAACATTGCTCCTTTTTTGTATCTGGGCAAATTCAGAGCCAAGCAGGCACTCTGTTCCTCTTCTGTACCTATCATTTAACCACCAAAACAGATTCTGCATCAGCGTATGAGATGCATATTTTTAGAGACTTCTTGTCAAGAAGAACTCAAGACAAAAGAAATACTTGTCTTCACGTTTCATGGTGATACCAGTAATCTGCTGCAAGAACCACCCTTAAAAAGCTAACAAAAGGAGTCTGCAAACAAAGCCTGTGACACCCTAGGATTCGATTGAAATCTGGTGTAAGCACGGAAGCGATTTAAACTAGTATTAAAGATGGTTGTTTAAATTCAATGTAAGAGCACTGAAGTGAAGCCCTACCTTGCTGTGGAGGCCTGTAGGGAGGGATCTGTCTCTGACCCATCATGTGATTGCCTTGGTTGACCTGCCCCATCATGCCCATCGGTGGCTGCTGCCCCTGGTAGTGCTGGCCGCCCGCCTGCGGCATGTTGTATTGCTGGGAGGGAGGCTGCTGGTGCATCATTGGACCTGTTCAGAAGGGAACAAAGCAAGCAGCTCTTCTGTAGCACATAACCTGGGATTGAATCTTTCAAGAACAACAAGGCAAACACAGCCTTTGGAAGTGGAGCAAAAGAGGTTCTGGATTTCTAGTGTTCTCGTGAGGATTCGTCGTCTCTAGACCTGTGGAAATCCAGCCCATTAGTAACCAAATTATAAACCAGATCTCAGTCTATTAGCTCTCCAGATTATTTTTCTTCTAGATCTTCTAGGGTTTTTTTTCCCCTCTAGAGCTTCCTTTCTATTCAGCTGCACAGACACTGGTTTACTCAAGCAGAGAGATAACAAATGCTTTTTCCATATTTTGTTTTAAAGCATCTGTGAAGAAAGTGTGGATGAAAACCTGATGGTGAAACTTTGAGAAGTTGTAGAAAAATTATTTAGCATTGTGAGCTCCTCAGGGCATAGTTTTCCTGCACCTGTAGTCATGAAAGCAAACAGTTAAAGAGCACCTTACTGGCACCACACAGCAATGGAAATGATGTCATCACATTATATGAGACTGTAGCTTAGGCTGATACAACTTTTAACAGAGTTAAAGCTTCCTCTCTAGCACCACCTCAGAAAAGGGTTATTCCAGAACTAAAAACATGAGGAAACTTGTGACAAGAAGGTAAACTACTTAAACAACTTATTTTTACAATAAATAAATGCAAACCACTTATTCTGCACACTTTATAATAGTGAAACTAAGGTTTTTTCCTTTTTTTTTTTCCCCAATTTAAATTTCTTTCAACTACAAATACCAGTAACTAGCCTTACTAAAACCAAAACAAATCATTGAACTAGCACAGCCACTACTTAGCCACAACCCAGGAGAAATCACCTAGTTTTCCATATGTTAGATTTTGCCATTGTATTTAGTATTTTAAACAACTAGCTGCTGGAGCACAAGCAGAAAGTCCTACATGACACCACAGCACTGGAATATCACCTAGATACAGCCAAGACCAAGAATGGATTTATATAAGGAAAAGAATATGCAGCCACTTAGATCCTGTCTGTGTGGGGCTACAAGAGAAAGTTAGGGCAAATTAATTAATGGTATGAATACCAAGTGTGTTAAATCCCATTAAAGCCCTGTGTGGAATCTCTCAGTGAGAACTGAAGTGGCCTTAGTTCTGTTAAGCTTCATTTTCCTCTGAAGATATGTATTGGCCACTCTTAAAGTGATGCAGTTACACTTCTACCCTTCAGCACAGCAGTTTCTGCACCCTGATTTTGAAGTTTAAAAATGATTTAAATTGAGATACTCTAATTGTTTTTCACTTAGCAAGAAGATATTTCATTTTTTGCTCTTCTGGAAGAGTAAGCAATTTAGATCATTCCATTTCACTGCTTCTGTTTGGAGGTACTGAGAAACATTAGGCAGCCTTGAAAAAAAAATAAACAAACCAAACTTGTTGCCATAATATTCCTAGATCTCAAGAAAGCTTGTTAATTAACAATATTAATATTAGTCACAATACAATGTGATAAAATGTGTTGGGTCCCCACGGTGCAATGTAGAGGTTTTCTGTTTGCTTTTTAAATTAGAACTTCATTAACGCTTTGTAGAGCCACAGTGAGAATTGACTACCCTGTATCAGGCTGTGTGCTGTGCTCCTGACAGAGTGCCTGGCTTCCTTCCAGCCTGGTGCACATCTCTCTCTCTTATTAAGATACCTAAGAGAAGAATCATGGGCTTTATTGTCCCACACAGCAGAACCATTTTGAAAAAAATCAAACCTAAAAAGATAAAAAACAACATTTCTTCAGCATATAGGGATGAAGATGACTTAATATGACATACAACTAACCCAGAAAACCCCTTAATGAAAATTTCAGTCAAAAAAATTAAGACCATTAGCTCATGATCTGCAACTTTCTAATATTTGGAGCATGTATTTTCACAGCCCACTTCAAATACAGCTGCTGAATCTCCAGTCAGGTCACAACAAACTACCCTCAGTGGAAGTTACAGTCTCTTCCAAACTTGGAGACAAGACTTCAGAGGCAGAAGTTCACAAAACTGTGTGCAGGAGGAGAATGCTCACTGCTTCCAAAAACTCTCCTTAGAAATTCTTTTTTTGGTGAATTTCAAGAATTTATTCCAGAGGGGACAAAATATCTGATTTGTACAGAGTCCAAAATGAGTCCAAGAAAATACTGTGTTGGATTATCCCTGTCAATACCTAAGTACACAAGGAGACTATTGTCTTTCCAAGAAATTATTTTAACTTTGGTAGTACCAAAGCCTGTAAATGTTTCTCTACCTTCAGAAGGCAGCCTCCACATGGTAATATACTGGAAGCATTCTTGGGATAAAAATCTGAAGAAAAAGATGCTAAGTAATACTGTAGTCCTGTGAGGAGTGCAGGCAATTTTGGTAGTCATTAAACAGGCATCTGAAAAATGCACAGTGTAGACCTTACAGTCTTATGATGTGAATGTATAAAGCAAGCCAGAGAGTGAAAATTGAACGAAATGCTCATTGCTTGTTCAATTTAATTAAAAATAGTCCCATTACCAAGAACACACAACATTTTCCTCAGCTGCTGTTTCAAAGTTGTCTACACCTACTAAATGAAAAATAGTTCCTGCTCCAGCCAGTGTTTCCTAAGGAGGATTCATATACAGGGAAGAAAAGAGAAAAGGTATGTGGGTTTAAGTAAAAATGGGCTTGTACCTCATCTTTTAAATGCAGTGACTCTGTGGCAGCCTCCTGACAAGAAAAGACTGGAGAAAACTGACAACCCAGACTTTAGACATGTCAGATGAATAGAGAGAAACAGAAACAGAAAGTGGGTCCCAGATAAACCTACCAGAAGTGAGGAACCACGCTCACAAATGAACTGATAGCTCTGCTGTGCTGATTAAAGAGCTACAGGAGTAGCTGGGTACAACTAAAAACCAACAGTACAAGGTCTGGTTTCTTCAGGCTTCAAAAGTTATGTTGGTTTTGTTGCTAAGAAGACCATTCTTTGGACATTTCACAATGTACTGATAAAACAACTGGGTATATACATCTAGATAAGCAGCAAAGCAAACCATGCCAGACTGACCATGGGAAACCTCATTATTGTGCCCCACTGTTACACAAAAAACCCAAAATATACACCTTGCAATGCAGCAGCCCTCAGCAAAACCTATTTGTTGTTTTCCTTCATGTTTACAAGAAAAAAAAAAAGCCTGTTTTTATACATAAGTGATGGTGATAACTCTTGCAAGAGCTAGCTTAGAAATTCTACTGTAGGCTACATTTAGCTTTCAATTGTCTCAAAATTCTTGACAAAAGCTGCAATTCAGATGAACTGGGTAAAATGAGCTGAAAACTTAGAAGTGTTTTAACATGAAGGGCAGTTTAAACACTATCTCCAAAGACTTTGAGGACACAATTTTTTGCTACTCCTAATGTATGATTTAACTTGCAAATTAAAGTTAGTAGGAATTTCACACACACTTGATGGTCACACTATCATTTTTTTGGTCCTTACTTTTGAAGTATTTGAATTCTACTGCTTATTCTCTTAACTGTGAAAGATCTGTTCAACATAAATAAGAGGAACTTCCACATAAGCTTCAGGTTCCAGAAAATCACGCTTATATCTCCCCTCGAAGTCAAAAACAGGCAAGACTTGAAATATTTCATTCCACATGAGGAGCTTCCCATACAGGAGAAGAAATGCACCCAGAAAAAAAAAAAAGGAGTTTCTGCCATGCTCACTCAGTTCCTGCTGCTTCTTATCTTGTCCAAAAAGGCAGACAACATTCCTCACAGATGTCCCAGGCTGCTACAGTGGCTTTTTCATCAAGAGTCATCTACAGAACCTTCCACTTTAAACCATCTGCTTCCCAAGTCTAAAATGGCCAAAATTCTTTTTAGGTCTGACTATACAAAAAGGATACCAAGAAAAATTAGCTTCTCATTTACAATATTCCTCTGGATAGTATTTTATAAGCTAGTGTAAATGAATAATGAATAGATGTGAATCCAACAATGGGCTCTGTTACTGTGCATTTTATTTCTTAATTCACACTCTCTCTCTTTTTTTTTTTTACTAACACAATCTGCCTCAAAATGTGCATATACAGCAACATGTTTTGCTAGAAAGCTGATGCAAAAAGTTATGCTAAAACCACCTAAAAGTTAGCTCAAACCTTTCTGCATGTTATGGTGCCTTTATCTACTCTACAGCTACATGTTTTTTCCCTAGAAGTGCTGTCCTCATTGAATGCACAGTAGATGTTATTCACTGAAAAGCTCTCTCAATATTTTGTTTCCTCCCAAATGTTTGTGCTGAGATGTCAAACACTGAAGACAGAATTATTAATGGACTCATGGGTTTTCTTATGGCACTCCCAACTAAAATGTCCAAATCTTCATGATGAATAAACTCTCACAACACTCCTGTGGAATCAGATGGTATCATAATCTCACCATCAGTCTCATTTCTCTACAGATGGAGATCCCATGCAGGGAGAGATTAAGGTCAAAACCATCTACTAATTTTTAACAGCCAATTTAAGATGCTAAGACCTTATCTTGCAAAATATTTAGCAGTATATTGAGCTAGTTCTGTCATTAACTGACAGGCAGTTGGATTTCTCCTTCTCCATATGGATCATACCTTTGTAAGACAGAAGCAAAACATGCTCACAGGTTCACAAATGTCTCCTGACAACAAACTGAGCTTCAGAAATTCTGATTCATTTCACTCTCTGAAGAGCAACACAGGCTGCCAGCTCAGGAGTCTTCAAGTCACAATTTGCTTCCTTTTTGTTAAGCTTTTGTTCAATGCAGTTCCTAGCAGCTCATTCTTGTTTCTTCACTTAGATGATAAGCCTGCAGTGCTTGTGCCTGGCTGAGACCTCTGCCCAGCCAGGCTGGACCTTGGCTGCCTATCTAAACCTCTCATGGTCTCACAGATTTCTCTGCCATTCCCTTCCCTGATATCTTGGAGTTACAAGACAGTGAATATACAAAAATCCTTCCTCTAATTTGTCACTAAGCTCAATACAAATGCAACAACTAAGAACAGAAAATGGAGGAAATTCATTCCATAGACCTGACTGGGAATATTCTTAGCTCAAAAACCTTAGCTACCAGTACATAACAAGCACATCTTCAAATTTAATAGCTTCTTCTCCAATAGTTATTTAAAATTTGACTAATTTGGGATAATATTTTCACTTAAACAGCAAATAGCACTTTGCTTGCATAACAGGCAAGTTTCAAAGCCTTGCTCTAAAGCAAGGGGCACCTGCACTCCTACTTTCACTTATGAAGTGCTCTATTTACTGATGGTTTTGTCAGAAAATGAAGTATTTTAAAGAATGTAATTTTTCACCCCACTGTCAGAAATGTCTGCTGCTGTGAAACTTCTGGAAGAAAATAACTAAAAATAAAAATCAGCCTTGAAGCAGACACTTGGAATGGAAAAAGTCTAAGTCAAATGACCAAAATTGGGCAAAATTAGTTAGCAAATGTAAAAGTTTACTGTAGCCCTAAGTGCAAAGGTACCAGCTCTCACTCTAAACAGAGAATTTGCTCTTGTTCTTGAACCTACAATTTGGTTTTATTCTTTATTCCCCAAAGCCTCTTCAGTACTATTATTTGTTCAGAATAGAAACCTTTTAAGTACCTTTCTGCCTAACTTCTAATAAGCAATTTTCAAGTTTGACGAGAGTACTGAAAATAGAGCAGGAGAATATTAAGAGGAAGAGTAAAGAACACTACTCTGAGATGGAATAACCACTAGCACTGAATTGTAAGTCATACAATTTTAAGAAAAATGCCATTAGCAACATGGACAGTGAAGGATTCAGATTTCCCACCTTCACTACTGGGAAGAAAACCACAGAAACTGCTGCTTCATCTTGACTCACTTGGTCAAGATGCAAGGATTATGCTATGAACCTGCAGTTCATTGTCTGCAAATAAATGAAAAGTCACTAACACCCAGGAGGAAGATGTACAGCTCTCCAAACAAGGGTATAAATCCATTCAGAGAAGAAAATCTACATGAAAAGACCTTAAAATATCTGTACCTGAGCTGTTTCCTTTTTACAGAAGGAAACCTCACTCACCTTGGTTTGGTTGCATGTTCATGTTTGGTCTGGGACCATAGTTGCCCATTGGCTGACCCTGGCTCATGGTCATCTGGTTCTGCACTGGCATACTCTGTGAGGATGGCACGGAGTGATTATAGCCACCCATTGACCCATGGCTACTCGAAGGCATGTTCATGGAACTGTTTGTCATATTGAGCTGGTTAGGTCCAGGTCCTTGCATAGGCATGTGGTTGGGTCCTTCAGAAAGGAAAACAGGGAAAAAAGTGCTGTATTAGGTGAGAGAAACCAAGCAAATACAGTCATACTGCATTACAAGCCTAAAGAAAAGTCAATAAATACAGTTGCATTAAAAAATAAGCCAAGGCAGGTTTTGTTTATCATTTCTCCACTTAAACAAGTGAGCAGCAAAGCTCAGTTCTACTCTGTGATCTGTTTTCTTGTGCTGAGCACCTGCAGCTACTAAAGTAAAGGCATGTGTAAATTATCATGTAGCTAATTTTGACAGCTGGACTTGATGATCTTCGAGGTCTTTTCAACCTCAAGATTCCAGGATCTTGTATTGGTATCCTATCCAAAACAGTCTTTTTAGTACTCACACAACACACCCTGAATTTCACACATTCAGTTTAACAGCCAGCTTGGTAGCTCTGCTACAGCTACCTGATCTTTACAACAGCTGCAGCATTTTGTTTATTCAAACAAACCATACAAGGCACTTTTCTGAATGTAATAATTTCTCTTTCCAAAAGTCAGGAAGGATAAACATCAATTTACTCATTACTTCAGCTGGTGTAAGGGAGCAGCTCCTAGGAGTAAGGTTAGTAAGAGGTGTGAGTGGATATAAACATAACAAGTGAACAAACAGATCAAATGCAAGGATTATGCTATGAAGAAATGTACAACCAGAGCATGTGACAGAGCAGGTCAACTGTAAACACAGCAAATGTTGATATATACAGAGTTCAACAAGATGATGCCCTTGTTGCCAATCATGCCACAGAATTTTTTTGTTAATCTACAAAACCCCAAGAAATACAGAAAACTTAGAAGAGGAGGCTAAAAGAAGCTGTGCCAGCAGAGGTTTAAGAAGACAGTGATTTGGTTACATATCTCCCCTGAAAAAAATAAACTTAAATAAAATAAAAAGCCACCACCAACAACAAAACAACATATCTGGGACTGGTTTTTGTTCTTTTTTTTGTTTAAAGGAAGAAATTGTCCATAATAGTTTTAAGAGAGCTAGCCCAACACAGTGGACTAAGTTTTTAAAAGCTGGTAGTGTAAGAAGTAAAACAGAGAAGGTACAAATGATCACACACGAGAAGCTGTGAAAAAAAAAAAAAAAACCACCTTCTCTAAAAGGCTGCTTTACATTTTCATGTCTCAGGTAGCACCAAAATAGGAGAAAGCACTCCTAAGAAAAAAGCTGGTCCATGAAATCTCAGGTATGTGTATATTCTGGGGTCAAAATCAGGTAGTTAGTGAGAAGCTAGAAGGCAAAAAGAGGAAAAGCCAAGACTGCAGAATCAGAAAGCCCTGCAAATGATAAATAGAAAGAATGCCCTTTACAAATACATGTTTTTATAATCTGTCAAAATACTTCATGGGGATTCTCCTGCACATAAGGAGACAACAGGTTTTTTTTTTCATCTGAATAAAAGAAACAGGAAGAACAGACCATGAATGAAGTATGAATGACTGAGACACAGAGTGCATAACTGCCATTAAAATAACTGTTTTAAATGCTATACTAATTAGATGCTGTGCTACTACAGAGTTAGTCAAGTCAGGATCTATCTGGAGTAATTTTTCCTCTGAACCACTTATGGACAGTGCCTTAGCTCTGAGAAGCTGTAAGCCAAAGCACATTTAAGGTGACATTTACAAGAAGGAAAGATGACTTTGAGAAAACCTGTTGGTACTACTCAAGCATCTGTTCTTCAGGAAGGTCACCTACCAGTGCCAGGACAAAGGTCATTTTTTTTTTCATCTGAATAAAAGAAACAGGAAGAACAGACCATGAATGAAGTATGAATGACTGAGACACAGAGTGCATAACTGCCATTAAAATAACTGTTTTAAATGCTATACTAATTAGATGCTGTGCTACTACAGAGTTAGTCAAGTCAGGATCTATCTGGGCTATAAACAGGAGTAATTTTTTCTCTGAACCACTTATGGACAGTGCCTTAGCTCTGAGAAGCTGTAAGCCAAAGCACATTTAAGGTGACATTTACAAGAAGGAAAGATGACTTTGAGAAAACCTGTTGGTACTACACAAGCATCTGTTCTTCAGGAAGGTGACCTACCAGTGCCAGGACAAAGGTCAGAGAACCCTCCAGCTGGTCTTACCTTTCAACCTCCTCCACAGAATACAACAAGCTCAAGGAATCAGGAAGATAACTTCCCACCAGCACAATCCAGCTCATCACCTGCTTTCAAACCCACACCACACAAACTCTCAGTGATTGTAACAATAACTTTTTCAGGTGAAAGCCATCATCTGTCCCAAGCACAGGTAGCACTTAGTTGCACCATAAGCTGAAAAAGGTTTGTCATGGCTGTCTCCTCTGCTAAGAGGACACAGACACCCATTTGTCAGGGGAGGAAATTAAGGGCCTGAACTGCAATTCAGATCCTTTAACAAACAGAACACAACTATGATAAAAACCTTCCTTTGCCTTTTAGGTAATGGGACAGGTCCACAGCAGAATTTTAAATCAACTCATGCCTTGACCATCAAGTTCTTTCAGTCCTCCCATCAACCCTTCCACCCACTCTCAGCCCAGTGGAAGCCCCTGCTCAGGTAAGCCCTTCCAGAAATCCTTGACTGGCATTTTTAAGAGCCTGCATTTTATTTCTTCCAGGCTGGTCAACTTGTGGTTGTCAATCCTAGATTCTCTTGGTTTGCATGTTAGTGACTTTATTCATTTTGGACAGATCACCTCTTCAGGTATTTAAGTTTTTCTATTGGCTTCTATTACTCTGAAGTTACATAGACACTTTTTAAGTGCCCTATGAACAGAAAGCAAATGCACACACTGCAGGAATTATTACAAATACATAGGTAAGAAACACAGAAAAGCTCAGATACAGGCAAACTAGCAAACACTTAAAAAAATATCATGCAGCTCTCCACTGCACAAGAGGGTTTTGTTTCCTGTTTTCCAATGCCTAACTATGAAATGATTTTAGCATGCCTTTCTGACATTAGAGATGCCCTCATCCTAAGCTCTTTATCTTCACATCCTCAGAGACAACTTTAAACAGACAAGGGAAAGAACAGACATTCAGAAAAGGAAGCATGTTGGAAGAAAGGCTAAATTAAAGCTTAGTTGGAGAGTGTATTTAAGTATCTGTCTAGGTGAATACCAAAACAAACCTATTTACCTTTCAGATATTTTCATAAGAGCTCTTTTCTTATTCTATCTAATTACAAAATATGTATGTTTAAGGAGTGACTTTCCTCCCTCGTGGCTCCACAGTGAAGTCATTATGCTCACATTGTGACTTAGTAATCCTTCTCCTTGGAAAAGATCATTATAATAACAATAATATGATTACACCAGAGGGTCAAAGAGACTGATTTGTGAGAGGCAATGCTATTCTCCATGGAAGCTGATGGATCTTAGATGGATAGAGGACTCCAAAACTAGAATATCTCTGACCTACTTAGGCAGCAGCATATACTGTGCTTTCCACTTCCAAATTCAGACCATGACCAACACGTATGATCATACAACTTCTTCTGCAGGTCTTTTATTCCACTTCCTACACAGAGCCTCTGGAGGCTACTCAGAGACTCTTCTCAAAAAAGATGTCACTATCAGGTCCACGTTATCAAGATTTGAGACTATCAAATTAGAAATTAGAGACTAGAGCAATCATTGTATCTTTTACTTCATATTGAGTTTTGTATAGTTATTCAGTGTTTGCTGTCATGGTGCTTATCCTTGTGACCACTGAGAGATGAATTTTCAAAAGATCCTTTGACAGCACTTTCCTCTCTTGGAAGAATCAGTACCTGGAAGGGATTTTGTACAAAAAGTTCCTCCATACCAAAAAAAACCCCAAACAGGTCCTGAATGAAAGCAATCCTGGGAATGCAATCCTAAGCTGAAAGCCAATTCACATGAAACAGGCAGTATGACTTTATTTATGAGTGGAAATTCTGGAAAACAACCTCTACATAAAGAAGCTTTTCCAGGGCCTAGTCCATTCTGGCCTGACTGCTAAAGGGAATAGTTACCTCAATGCCAGTACTGGTGGCATTTTATCATCTTGTTTCACTGCTTTGTTTCTGACTTTCTAGGCACTTTTCTTTTTACTACAAAACAGGATGGCATAAAAGGTGACTTAAAATTTACACCTAGAACAATAATCTAGAGGCCATTGTTTTACAAATCTCTTACAATTCAGCACATCTTCAATATTACAGAACACAGAGGATTAGAGGAAGCTGGATGACTTATTGTATAG